AGTAAAAATTAATGAGAGATGATAAACGACATTATTTAACTTTTGACTAAAGATGATTGGAGAATGTAGCACGGTGGTCATAGGCAAGATCTTGTGGGGCCAAGTGCTGGAAATGGCGGTGATGGACATGACTCATGAGTCTCCCAAGTATTTGACGGACAAAGAAAGCAATGGCTATGGTGAAATCAAAATCTTTACTTTCTTCATCAATGCTCAATCTTCATCTTCCTCCTTTTCCCGCTTCATCCTGTTCAATTCCCACAGTAAATATATAAAATTACATAAATATCTTTCTCTTCCTTTCTCTTTTATCCTCTCTACTTCATGAATAGAAATACTCTTTATTTTGTATTCCCTTCATTTCTTTTATTATTAAAGTTTTAAAAATATAAATATCATTTTTCATAAAACATATGTATTATTTTTATTTTATTTATTTTCTCGAAAGTTTAAAAAATAAAAAATAAATGAACATAAAAAGAAAATGCTGAGGATTCAAATTTTTTTCACCTTAATCAAACAATATTTTAATGTTACTTTAATTTTTGTTTATATGTCAAATTAAGTGCATGTTTGTTTGGACATCGCCTCCCATCACCTTGATCAACATCTTTTATGATACACACTAGTGTTATAGTTTGTGCTACTTTAGAGGATTTAACATGTTTTTTTGTATCCTTTGTAAAAAAAAAATATATATATATATATATATATATTTTTGTATTAAACGTTTAACGTTAACATGTGTTCTTCCAAATATGCTCTAACTGTGATAGTATATCTTTTATTTTAATATTATTTATTATAATTTCCCCTTTTTATTTAATTTGATTTTTAATTTTAAGTTTCTAGATTGTTATATTTTTTTTATCAAAAAAAGTAGACTCCAGGCAAAAGGATTAATCCCCATATCATAACAAATCAAGGTTCGAATTTTCGCTAAACTCACTTTTAATATTGGGCTATATCTCAAAAAATATTATATTTAAAAAAAAATTACGAGAACACAAAATATATGTATATGATTTTTTTAGAAAAAAAAAAACATTTTTATAACCATATTGTACGTGTGATGTATATAATAACGTCTATATATGTCAACCTATTTTTAATGGAGTCCTCACTTTTAATTATATTTTTTTATTCACATAATTCTAATTTGAGATTTTGTTTTAAAAAGAAAATTGAGCGTAAAAATAAATAAATTAAATTTTAAAATGAAAAAATATTTTTTGTATTTAATAAATATGAACTCATGACATAAAAATGTTTATATTATTAATTAAAAATCATCATTAGTATATTTAGTTTTAATATAAATTTTTTTCTTATATATATATATACGTGACAATTTATAATTAATTGAAATGAGAGTGTAATAATGATTCATATATTTTTTAATTTAAATTTTAAATTCTTTCTCTGTTATTTTATTTCCTTTGTAGCAATTAAAGGTAAGTTGGAGTAACTAAAAAAAGAGAAGAGAAAAGAAAAAGAGTCCCTAATGAAATTCCTAGTAGCCAAAAAGTAATGTAACAGTGATACTGTTGTCTCACTTCACGTCACCCTCTCAAATCTTTCAATCACTCACTCACATGCAACTTTTTCTTCCTGCGCGTGGAGGCCATTCCCATTGTGAGATCATCACTATTATTATTTTCCTTCAAACTTTCATATATTCAAAATAGAAAAAGCTGTAATATAAGTTAGTGAGGGCAACTTGCCTTAGTATTTAGCTACTATATATATAATATATATATACGTGAAGCATTTTACTGGCATTATTTGTAACTATTACTAATATTCAGTATATAGATTGATATGCTTTGTTTTAATTTTTAGATAGTGGAAGGTTAGCAAGTCTAGAATTTTTTGTGGTTGATATGTAGTCAACACAAGAGTTGAAGAAATTGAGTTTCATATGTTGTCCATTTTTGTTGTTGTTTGTGAAGGTCAAGAGTACTAAGAAAAGGTCAAGAGTACATAACAAAGGATCCCCTAAGATTATAGGATTCTTGTCTCCTCACAATGCATTAATTGGTAAGCACGTGCATGTTGCACTTCAGACAGCAGTACTATCAGAACTAAGAAATGTTATTTGCTGAAAAATGATCATCTGTTGAAGAAATACTGTTCCATTTTGTGCAAATGGAAAAGGGAAAGTAGGGAACAGAAAAGGCCTAACATATATTGTACTAGTAGGGCCACTCGATCACCAGTTAGCCGACACCCAATCGGCACTTGTATGGCCGAATCAGGTTGTCGATACCTAATCGGCACCCAGATGGCCGAGCCAGATGGCCGATCAGACATCGGCCACTATAATAACTCATATCCTTAATCAGGAGTGTAAGATTATCCCTAATCAAGAGTTAAGACATAATCATATCCATAAGCTGATTAAGGGCGTGTTACCTAATGCGATAGTCGTCACGGGGCCCAAGGACACCAGGGCCCATGGATGTCAGTATAAATAGTTCACGTCAAAAGGTAACGTCACTGTTCATTAATTGTCATCGATATTTGTGCTTATTCTGACTTGAGCGTCAGAGTGCCTTCTGCAGGTATCTCCACCCCCAGCTTATCGGAATATTCGATCGGAGTACTCGTTCGGTCCTCAGAATACGAGAAGATTACCGGTGTATCCTTTGTCAAGTACATATATTATTGATGCTTCTTGAGTTAATTAGAACAAAATTATCAGAATTAATAACACTTTGTTTGAATATGAATGGAACTGAAATTGAGGGGAGAAAATTAATGAGAAAATAAATAAAAAATATATTATTTAAAGAAATTTTTATGAGTTTTTGTACAATGCTTAGATAAATGGAATTAATAAAGAATAATGTAAGGTGATTTTTATTCATTTCCTTACACGGAAAAGTAGAGGGAATATTATGAAAATATGATTTTACCTAATTTTGAATCAAATAAAATTTAACTTTTGAAATATGAAAATATACATGATTATGATTATAATATTAAGTTTTTGATTTAAAATATCTTCAAATAACTTTTTAAATAACAATTAGTAATTATTTTTAAAAAAAATATTTTAATATATGCTCACTGTTCAGCACTCTCCACGTATATATTTTTTTTCTAATATAAATATGGTTTCCTAGTATTTTTTCCACGTTATTAAAAAAAAAGAAGCCAAATCCTACTTCCCCTTTAAAGAGCAGGGAAAATATTTTATAATTTCGTATTAAAAAACAAAGGAAATTACTTTAATCTACTTCCTAAATCTCTCATCTAAAATATCAACCTCTTAAATAAACTAAAATTGGGATTTTTTTTTTAAATTTTATAAAAGGGCTTCTTTGTCTTTTAAAAATATATTTATTTAATAAATAATCATGTGCTTTGTGCACCTAGTGTATGCATTAAATTTATGTTAAAATAACTGTTAAATAAATTATAAATATCTTTTTTCTCATTCTATTATGTTTAAATTTTTTATTATCTTGTTATAATTACATTATTTTTATCAATTTCTATATATTAAACATGGACTATATTGAATGAAAGTGCTTTTTGAAGCATTTTTTAACAGAAGTATTTTTAAGAATTTTTATAAATTTTATTTATTTATGAATTATATTTAAAAAATTTAAAATAAAATATCAATAATTAAAAATGATCTTATATCATAACATGAATTATATTTTTAAATTTTAAATCTAAAATATAATTTATATGTTTTGCAAAATTATTTATACATATTTTATATATATTTAAATTCAAGTATGATATTATTTATATATATATATATAATTTATTGTAAAATTTAGTTTAATATAATAGAAATTTAGTATGTGAAATGTACATGCTAAAATATCACTTATTTATTAATTTCTTTAAATATTTATTTAAAATTCCCTTAAGTATATATAACATAAAAATCTTATGTAGGATTTAAAATTTATTTAGAAATTTCTAATTGTTTTTTCAAACTTAAGACACTTTTTTTAAAGAAAAAAATGGACTTATACTTTGAGCTTTTGAAATTTTAAATGTGATTATTTAAGTCTAATCGATTAATCAATCATTTATTAAAAGATGGTAAAAGGTCTGGACTTGGGCTCCAAGGACACAGCACAAGCCAGAATTTTGGCCCAAAAAGAGTTCTCCTATTTGCAAGTTGCCGCTAAACTTTCAACTTTTTAGATATTAGTCATTTTTGTAATTTACATTATAACTCTTCAACTTAAATATGACAAAAAGACAAAAAGAATAGAAAGTGGCGAGTTTGTAAAAGAAGAAGAAGAAGAAAAAACCCTTGCTCATCCTCTTGCTCCTTGTAGTTGTGTGAGAAAGTGGATACTTAAAAAAAATATAAAAAATAAATTTGTTATTTATTTGCTTGAGTGGGACAACTACTTGAAAAAAAAAAAAAAAGAAGGAAAAATAGTATGTTATATGTAAACTAATATTTTGATATAAAGTTAATTATCTCGTCCATGGGTTAATTTTTTATAACATTCTTTTGTTGATAAGGAAAAGAAACAAAAAGCTTAAACTTAAATAGACTTTTGTGTTGGTCACTTTTGATTGATTACGCTAAAATGTGTTGTTATCGCATGATTGGTTAAATTGATAGGTTAAATAAAGTGGAGATGATGAGAGGGAAGTGGGTGGCACACTTGAACTTACACATCCTTGTAGATTCTAAAAGGATAAATGCTAAAATAAATAGTTTAATTTATTTAAGTATAAGGATTAATAAACATAAACATTAAAACAGAGCACGATAAGAGAAAAATGAGAATAGCAATCAATCTCATTCTGCTACATTTTTATTGATAATGATACGTATATACACAAAGAGAATGAGAAGAGAAAGAGGTTACAAAAAGGGGATGACGGATGGAAAATGAAAATCATAAAAGATATGCAAGGATTCTAACAGAAAGATATGGTAATAACAGAAGGAAAAAAAAAAGGTGCAACAAACACGTGGAAAGTGTATCCGTAGCTGCAAAGGGAAGAACGAATCAAGGAGCTTTGGGCTGGGACTCTTGGGCTGAAACATTTTTGGGCTGATGATCAAGTTGAGAGCCCCCCTCAAGCTGGGAATGGATATTGCACATTCCCAGCTTGCCATAAGATTCTCTAAAAACATGGGGGTGAAGGGCTTTTGTCAGTATATCTGCAAGCTGCATTGAGGAATGTATGGGAAGAAGCTTAAGAACACCACGGTTAACTTTCTCCCGAACAACATGGCAGTCTATCTCAATATGCTTCGTTCTTTCATGAAAAACTTGATTAGAAGCGATTTGAATAGCCGAATCATTATCACAGAAAAGCAGAGCAGGTTTTTCATATGGAACCCGAAAATCTTCAAGAAGGAATGTAAGCCATTGTATCTCACATGTGGTTGAAGCAAGTGCCCGATACTCAGCTTCTGAAGAGCTTCGAGAAACAATGGCCTGTTTCTTAGATTTCCAAGAAATTAATGAATCACCAAGATAAACTGAAAAACCAGTAACTGAACGACGTGTTTCAACACAACCTGCCCAATCTGAATCGCTGAAACCTTTCAACTGTAAAGAACTTGAAGAAGAGAGAAATATACCAGCTCCTAAAGATTGCTTCAAGTATCTAAGCACATGAAAAGCAGCTCTAAAATGAATGTCAGTAGGGGAAGAAACAAACTGACTCAAGTTCTGAACCGCAAAGGCAATATTTGGACGTGTTGACGTGAGATAAATGAGTTTGCCAATCAGTCTTCTATATGGTGAAGGGTCAGCAAGAGCAGTTCCAGTTTCAGAAGTTAATTTAGTTGTGTAATCTGTGGGGGTTGAGACAGGAGCACAAGCCAGCATGCCAACATCCGATAACACATCATGAGTATACTTCCTTTGAGAAAGGTGAATACCATCAGCAGAACAGGCTACCTCAAGGCCGAGAAAGTATTTAAGATCTCCAAGGTTTTTAACTTTAAACGCTTGATCAAGTAGGAATGTGACATGAGTAATTTCTGACAAGTCATTCCCAGAGAGCACAATGTCATCAACATAAATTAATAATGCTGTAATGTTGGGACCAGAGAACTTCAAAAACAAAGAGTGGTCAGCTTGAGAGTGATGATAACCATGAAGAAGGAGGAAACTAGATAATTTTGCATACCATTGTCTACTGGCTTGCTTAAGCCCATACAAAGATCTCTTTAAAAGACAAACCTGCCCAGGTTGAGCTGTAAGCCCTGGAGGAACATGCATGTAGACTTCCTCATGAAGCTCTCCATGCAAGAACGCATTGTTGACGTCAAGTTGCTTCAAATACCAATTGTTTATAGAAGCCAAAGCTAACAGCATACGAACTGTAGTTATCTTGGCTACAGGAGAAAAGGTATCTAGAAAATCAAGACCCTCAAGCTGATTATATCCTTTTGCAATGATAGTTTGTTTTTATCTCTCAATGGTGCCATCAGCATTGTGCTTAACTTTATATACCCATCTACATCCAATAGGTACCTTGTCGGGTGGCAAATTAGTCAAGGTCCAGGTATTATTCATCTCAAGGGCAGTAAGCTCATCCTTCATTGCCTTAACCCAACACTCTAGCTTAGAAGCCTCATAATAGGAATGTGGTTCAGTGATCACAGATATGGAACAAACAAAATGGCGAAAAGAGTTAGATAAACGATTATAAGAAAGAAAAAAATGAAGAGGATACCTGACAGTTGAAGCAATGTTACAATGAAAGTCCTTGAGATAGGAAGGAGGTAAGTGAGTTCTGGAAGATCGTCTGATCTGTGTGGGCGGAGGAGAAATTATAGGAGAAGACTGATCAGAAGAGCTAAGTTGATTATTTGACTCTGAAAAGCTTGGTTGAGAAAGAGTCAATTCATTACTATTTAGATCAGGCTCAATTTGGTCAGAGGAATGTAATTCAGGCTTAGGTTGATTAGAAGTATGATGTGGTGCACGAGTTAGCATTCGAATTTCTTCCTTCGACACTGATATTTGCAGCAAAGTTCTTTCCTTGTAGTTGACGTTCTTGCTGGACGACGTAAGAAAATATTTTAGTGATTTGAGGAAGCGGTTCCATGAGAAGAATGTGGGATTGCACGTTACTATATTGGTCATTCAAGCCACGGAGGAATTGCATGGCTTGGTCTTCGACTCTTCGCTGGGTAATACTGGGTAGAATGTCACATGAGCATTTGTTTGGGTACTTGCAGATCAACTCAGGTCTGTAATTATCTAACTCATCCCATATGATCCGAAGCTTGGTGAAGTATTCAGTGACTGAGAGCTCTCCCTGCTTGATTGATGAGGCTTCACGTTGCAGCTCAGAAACGCGAAGGAGATCACCTTGGGCATACAGTGTTTTTAAATCTCTCCATATATCTTCACCTTTATTCATCCAAACTATGCTATGTCGAATGGGAAGAGAGACAAAATTAACAATCCATGATGCAACCATGTTGTTGCATCGTCTCCAAGCATTGTAATGTTGATCATCAACGGGTGGTTCTGTGGCACTATCGTCAATAAACTCTAGCTTATTTTTAGCACTGAGGGCCGTTCCCATGGACTTGCTCCATGTATGGTAATTGTTGAGTTCAAGAACAGGGGAAACAAGAGGAATAGATGGGTTCTCACTGGGGTGAAGATAAAGGTAACTGTGTATGCCAGTAACGGACTCAAATCCTTCATTCATGATTGAAGAAATAGAAGCCATGAAAAAGGAACAAAGAGAGTAGAGTGGCGCAGCAGAGCTCTTCCTTCAAAGGAAGAGCTCTGATACCACAATAAACATAAACATTAAAACGGAGCACGATAAGAGAAAAATGAGAATAGCAATCAATCTCATTCTGCTACATTTTATTGATAATGATACGTATATATACAAAGAGAATGAGAAGAGAAAGAGGTTACAAAAAGGGGATGACGGATGGAAAATGAAAATCAGAAAAGATATGCAAAGATTCTAACAGAGAGATATGGTAATAACAGAAGGAATAAAAAAAGGTGCAACAAACACGTGGAAAGTGTATTCGTAGCTGCAGAGGGAAGAACGAATCAAGGAGCTTTGGGCTGGGACTCTTGGGCTGAAACATTTTTGGACTGATGATCAAGTTGAGAAGGATTTTCCTATTTTAAAAAAAAAAGTTTTATACTTTGGAAAAAAACTAGTTTGATAAGAGCGGGTTTTGAATGTCAATATCTTCTCTTCAATTTTTAAAAATATATATGAAGAACATTTATTTCATTTGATTGAGAGTGTCTATATATTGTAAATTTTTTTTAGTATCAAATTTGATTCTTGCATATAAAAGAAATAAAGGTTAAATTATATTTTTAGTCTCTTTATTTATTTTTAAGATTCAAGTTAGTCATGTTATTTTAAAAAATTCAATTTGATCATTTTATTTTAAAAAAATGTTGAATGTTGTCTTTCCGTCTAAATTAATATTGTCAATGAAATTAAGTGAAAAAATAACATTAAGTTTTTTTTTTTTTAAATTAGAAGATCAAATTGAACATTTTAAATGATTCAATTTGATCATCTAATTTTTAAAAGGTGTTCAATATTATCCTTTTATCATATTTCATTAACATAATTGATGTTAATTTAGACAGAAAAAGAACAGAATATTTTTAAAAAGTTAAAAAATCAAATTGAACCATTTTAAAATAATAGAATTAAATTAAATTTTAAAAATAAATAGAGAACTAAAAATATAATTTAGAAAAGAAAAAAAAAATAACATGACATCCCTATTCCACTAGCTTGCTTTTTGTACTTTCAATTTGCTATTATTTATATTCTTCCTTATTCTGTTTCATCCTCTTTATGTAGTTCTATTTTCTAAAAAAATAGTTTTTTTTTTAAAGTTGTTTCATAGAATAATTTTTAAAAGGTTAATAAAAATACAGTCGAGCACACCGCTAACGATTTTTTTTTTAAATTATCTTATAGACATACTGAGAAATTAAACTAGTGATACAATTCTTGAAATTATTTGAAAATTTTCAATTTGGTTAATGGAATCTTAGTGAAAATGTGTCAAAGAGCCCAATTAAAAATGATTTAAAAGTTTAGGGATTTAATTGCAAATTTTTAAATTATAAATACTTATTTAAGATATTCTCAAATAGTTTAGGAATTATTTTATTTACACCATAGTTTAGGAATTTTTAATATTTAATTTCATTATTTAATGAACCAGTGATTATTTTTCCTCAACTATTTTATGTTTTTCCGTTAAGACTTTTACTATTCAATTTGAAAGCAGTAAGTTTCAATAGGCTCCTGAGTGACGGTTCGGGCCTATCGTTATTAGGGTTTAAATGATCTTGGGCCTTTCCTGTTTCACTAAATCATTGTATACAAATTTCTTTGATTAACTTTAACGTTCAACAAAAATAAAAATAAAAAAGAAGATGAAAATACTATAGTCTTCTTCGAGAGAAAAAGACTAATAGCATGTTTGTATTCTTGTTTAGTTTCGTTCAACGTCAAAATTACAAGAGAGTAAAGTTATATTCAACGTGACTTTGAAATTCAGGAATAAAGCAAAACAAACATGTTCTAAGTGTGTGTTTAGATTACTGTTACAAAAGATATCAAATATTTGCTTGCAGATTCCAAAACACAAAAAAGATAAATAACACTAAATAAAAAGTGAGTTATGTTCAACAAAACTTTTTTAAAACTTGAAAAGGATTTATGGAAATACAAACACTACTTAAAAGTGATTATTGATGTATAATAAGATGGACAAGTGTTCACTCTAAGGAAATGCTTGGTACACAACAATTTTTTTTGCATAGGAATCATAATTTATGAGAATCATAAATCTTGAAAATTATAATTCCTAAAAATCTTGAAAATCATGATTTCTAGAAATCATGAAAATATATTTAGTTGATCATAAATGATTCTATAAATGTCTTAAATGTTACTCAGAGTCAAAGATTTTTCATGTAATAAATAATCAAATAAAGATAACATGACATTTTTATGGATTAAAGAAAAATTATCTCAAAAAAGTTAATTTTCACCTATCATGGAAATAATTTTGTAGAAAAATTATGCAAAAATAATTTTCGAGAATTAATGTTTCATAAGAATATTATTTTTTAAATAACAAATCAAATGCCAAAAATTAATATTTTCCATGTCAGATATTCGTAAAAACTTTTTTTATGTACTAACATCTCTTAAAAAATAAATTTTTTCAATATCTATTAGTTTAGTTAATAACTAATTTTATTAAATAAAAAAAAACTTAAGATCAACATCTTGAGGGGGATCTTTTCTTTCCCATAATTACATGTCCTATTCTATTATCCATATTAAACTGTAAATGAAGAAGGCTAATTAAAAATAAAGGAAATGAGTGAAGAAGACTTATTAAAAAAGTGGGATTGATAACAAGTGACAAAATATTATTGTTTTGACAGTAATGAAGACATTATAGATATAATGTTGTAAAATATATGTAGCTTGACTTGCAATCTAGTTTTGGAAGCAAATTAAAATGTTTAAATAGCACGTGATTGAATGGCACGTATCACTGAATTCAAAGACTCGTGTAATAGTAATATAAATATCCATATCCATGACTCTGACCATCACCACCATGGCTAACAGCTGGATGAAGCCATGCTTTCTAAAGATAAGATAACAGACATTGCCACCGTCTCAAACCGTACCTACGCGTACACACCGTCAACACCCTCAATTGATCAGAATCAATGTTCTAAAGAACAAAATTGTTTTATCATAATTGATTAATTCAAAAATAATGTTAATATTTTGGTAATTTCCAAAACTATTATTATATATACACTTGTGTTTCTAATATCCTATCCAAAACAAATCCCATGTTTCCCTGAATACCAAAATAGTATATATCTCAAAAGTTAATATAACAATTAAAATTGAAAGTTCATATCGCGACATTTAAAATACTCGAGAATAAAAGTAAAATTGTTATTATAAAGATGAAATATATTACGTTCCTCGTGTATAATTTTTCACCCCTTCTTTTTCTCATTGTCGATTTTACCTTAATTATTCGTGTTACTAATTTTCATAATGTGTGACTTAAACCGGATTAGAAACATCCTTAAAAGCATCACGCAATTGAATGTTGCCGGGGCCTATTTAAGATGAGGTACTGTACTCTTCAACAAAGTCAATCTCTATCTTTGTCTTATTTTTTATCCTTTGCTTTAACTTTAATAATTTTGGACCCACATTTTCTAGCTCATGCTTTCTCTATATTAAAAAATTAATTCTCAACTATCTTTTTTTTTTTTACACAAAAATTCTTCACTATCAACCACATTTCTTTTTTTTTTCTTTGGACACATTGTTTTCTTATATTAATTTTATGCTTTAATGTTATTTAGAAATCGAAGCATAAAGCTTAAGTCCAAGTCTTAAAAACTCGTTTTAACAGCTATGTTGTTGTTGGGAGTGAGTGACTTTCCCCTAATACTAATTCAGCGATTGACTAACTTGGCAGTGAAAAAATTTATATATTCTAGAAGAAGAAATTATAACCATAACCACCGTGTGGGTTTGGTGGTAGGTAAATGGAGCACCACTGCACCAGCCACCGCCATATCTCACACATAAACATATATATATAGAAACATTGCATTAGGAGGTCATGGGAAATTCAAACTCAGACACAAAAAATTAGCAATTAATTAGTATTTTTTTAATTAAAAACAATTTAAAAATCTATAATCAGACTAAATTGCTTTCATACTTCACTTTTCAAGTGGAATTTGAATCTAACACCGGCATCTCAGTAACCTTTTTTACCCTACTTTTCTGTTTAGTTTCAATCCCTTTATTTTTCTTTTATGCCAAGCTCTTAGCTTCATTTACACTCACCAACACTTTGACAACAAGTTTGGACTATATACACGATGCCCTTATAATAACTTTAAAAAAAATGAGCAAAGATGAAAAGAATATATAATGTTAACATCATTTAAAAAACAATAAGAAGGAAAAATAGAACAAATCACGTGAAAAACTGAAGAAGAATATTTATTAATTAATCAAGCCACTGTTTAAATTAATCCAAGTCTTGGTGTGACATCACACATAGATTCAATAATGCAAAAGGGTAGTAGTAAACATGCCCCATTGCTCTCTCACTGACAGCATGTTCCCCACTTACGTGTAACTACGAGGAACCTCACCTGTGTTCCCTCACATAATTTCTCAACCTTATATAGTCACACTTATATATCGATATATCACCACCACCATCACTCTCTCACTCTCATCAACCAAATTGCTTTGTGTTACAACTTACAACCCCTCTTCAAACTCTTCATTCAATGGAACAAACAACCACCACCATGCAAGAACATGTTATAGCTCCAACATCATCATCGTACCGTGGTGTTCGACAACGAAAATGGGGCAAATGGGTGTCGGAAATTCGCGAGCCAGGGAAGAAAAGTAGAATATGGTTAGGGAGCTACGAGACACCAGAGATGGCAGCAGCAGCATATGACGTGGCAGCGTTGCACCTTAGAGGACGCGCCGCGAGGCTCAACTTTCCCGAATTGGTTGAGACATTGCCACGGCCAAAGAGTTCGAAATCCGAGGATGTTCAAGTGGCAGCACAAGAAGCAGCATTGAGGTTCAGAAGAACACCAATGATGTCATCATCATCATCTTCATCATCAATGTCTGATCAAGAATGTCGTAATGATATTAAGGGTGGTGTGGTTCCTGTTAGGGTTGGACTCTCACCCACACAAATTCAGGCCATCAATGAGTCACCATTGGACTCACCAAAGATGTGGATGATGCATATGGCAGATGCACTCAGGTTTGGCTTTGATGATGACTCCATGATGATGACGCATCATGGTCATAATTATGCTTTGGAGTTGAGTGGATGGGAAGAAATACAGCATGAATACACCTTATGGGACTCTCCTGAATACGTGTAATTACGTAACAGTTAATTAATAATCAATGTACCCTTCATTTTATTAGGGCCCTATAAATATAAATATGCGAGATTGATTAATGTACCCCCATGTGGTTTTGGTAAGACTAATTCAATGAAGCAAAAGGATTATTTATTTATTATTTATATATTTGTCAATTTGAGTATTTTATGACCAATTTGTTTCTCCTTTGCTTCTGTGTACTTGTATGTATTCATTTCTGAATGTTTCTTAATCATCCAGTTGCTTATTCATTATAATGGCGCTTCTTCTTCATTTACTAACAAGAAATTGGACTTTTATATACGAGAGTAGTTCTCCTTTGTAGCATATTAAATTATTAACTAAATTAATTAAATGCATAAGACTGTTAGGTGAGAATTTTGCTATGTTTTTGGGGCTTGTAGAAGTTCATGTATTTTTCCAGTTAATTTTTATTTGACAAATGTAGACCTTGCATGAGTGAATGTCTTAATTTGATAGGAAAGGGAGGATGCTTTTTCAAATTTTGTTTAGATGTAGCTTATATGTATAAAGAATTTGTTGCATATGAAATACTTTTTATTATAAGAATCTGTACTTTTATATTGTAATTATAATTTTTAATGTCAGTAAAATAATTTTTCATCAAATGTTTTTTTAATTTATACTTTTCTACTGTTGATGTGTATTTACAAATACAAATAAGATACATGAGATGTTTTCAGCTTGTTTGATAAAGTTTATCTGTAAAAAGTAATTAATTTCTTATCTTTTAAAAAACATTTTCGCAGCAAATAGATTTTTTCTAAAATAGCGTGAACTAAATATGCACTTAATGTTTAATCGATTAAATTTCTTGAGCACATGATTAAAGACATGGTTGTTAATTAGTAGTTTATACAAATCTATTTTATGAAAGAAAAAAAGATATTTTAAAAATTATAGTTAGATTTTGTTTGAATTACACGTGTAATTGTGTGTGAAAATATGATGGGCTTTAAGCTCAATGTATTACAGTGTGTCTCTTTCCTTTTGAGATGCAACCAAAAGGACTTTGTCTCAAATCGAATTCTATTTATAGGTTATTGTCACATTCCGGCAATAGAAATAAAGTTGGCATTTTAACTTGCAGTAACTTTTCCCCCCTCGGTACATCTAATTATCTAAATTCCCGAATTCATTGACGTCGTCGTCTTTACTTGTGCGTGACCAATTAAAGAAGTGTGTTTAAATAAAAAAGAGTAGAATTATTATAATAACAAGGGAATCGTATTCGTAAGCCGGTCGAATCTATTTGGGCATGACTTTCGTCTTGGGAATTTAATTTACCATTGACATTTGACTGTTACATTTCTAAGTTCTAACCAAAACCACTTTTGGAACTACCTATTTGGGCTAGGTTGCGTGTGAGGTGTGCCACCTGCTGCATGCATAACACAACACGTTTATTCACCCTGCACCCTTCAAAATTGTGGAGACGTGTCAACTCTTTCTAAAGCCTCTACATGCATAATAATCATGTATCATAAAGGAGGATACACTGTCACGGGTCCAACCACAAAGGAGGGCATTTTCTCAATCCACTCCATAGCCTTGTAAGGAGAAGCGTGGGGCGTGGAGAAGGATTTTGGAATGACAAGTGGTGATTATGAAGGATTTGCAATAATTGAATGAGGAAGGGAAGGAGCAAAAGGGGCAAGGTTGAGCCATTTTCCCTCTCATGTATAATTGTTCGAGAATGGTGATAGGTCTTGATGAAAACGAAAGACAAGTCTCAGATAGAGACCAAATTTTCACGAGCCAGTTCTTGACAAAGCTTTTCCAAAGAGCTGGGAAACAACTAAAGATCAATACAACTTGCCATCCACAAACTTTGTTTATAGGCATATCTTCACAGTTTGGAAGGTACCGAACAAAAGCAGCGATCGGGATTACTTAGATTGGGCAGAATATTATTACAATACCAATTTCAGTGCTCTAGTAAGATATCACCATTGGAAGCTTCGTATGGTCAAGATCCTCCTTTACTTTTGAACGGTACCACAACCCTTCTAAGATTGAAGAGGTGAATAAATAGATTAACAAAATAATACAAATAGTAGTCATTAAAGAGCTAATTTACTTGAGGCTCAAGACCAAATGTAACAAGAAGGGTTGAAGGGCTTATAAAATGGCGGCAACTACGAGTATATGAAAATAGTTAAACATCATCAATTCAAGATGTCTATACTCCACTTCCACCTTCAAGAGAAGGTGGATCTTACATGGACACCGTCCTCCTAGAATAAAGGAGGCATATGTTCGGAATAATACAGAGAATTACATCTCTGGGATTGGACCAATGCCGATAAGGTAGGAGACAAATTATATGTTATATCTAGCAACTAACTCTACTTACAACGGAGAGAAGGGAATAAAAGGAGAGAGAAAAGTAGGTAGTTAGACATTCGAAAGGGGAGTTTGAGGTATTGAGAACCAGAAAATTTCTTTCAACTCAGTAAAGATTCCTTTATTTCTGATCAGATTTTTTTTTACAAAATCTATCACACTTTTAATATATTCTCTCATTCATTAAAAATTACAAAATCAAGAGTGAGAGGTAGGCTAAAGTTCATGCAAATTTTGATTTTGGGATGAGGCAGTCTTGAAGAAAGTATGGCTGAAACATCTTTAGCTATCATAATATTATTACATTTTATATTTTAAACAAGATGTTGGATATATGATCTAGGCCTAGCAACCCACCATTATAAAAATTAGAATACAGCTAACACAGTACTGAGCTGTAATTCCAATTAAATCAAATGTTTATAAGAATGTTTTAATTTTCAACAGATAAATTGTTACACCAGCCAATAATCAGCTGCTTTCTGAGAAGCAATGCAAAATGAACAAAATAGCATCGCAGACCAATGTAGCCTACATTATTTGCCAAAGATACGGCACTTCCTGCACGGCAGAACTAATCGACCGAAAATTAAATCAATAGAACTCTGAAAGTACACTGCAAAATTGAATGTTTGAAAACATGATATCACTGTGCAGTGGCTTCTTTCAGATATGCAATCAGATCAGCACGTTCCTGGGGCTTCTTAAGACCAGGAAATACCATCTTTGTTCCAGGAATATACTGCACAAGAGCGCCAACACAAAACAGGCAGATTAGTGACATAATGTGGGGCGGAAAAGATTTCTTAAAGTCAACCATGCAGAATTAGCTTATAACTGAACAATTCAACATAATAGAAAACATTAAATTACAGAAATAAGTTGTGTGAAACAACCATTAAAATGTTATGATGTGTCAAAATTCTTTGCAAATTTATAAATATAGAAAATTTGGATTAATATTTACAATTAACTAAATTTAAGTAAAAATGTTATTAAAAAAAAGGACAACTTGTGAGATGCTAGATATAGACAAAGTCATATGACAAATTTGAGAGAGAAGTCCTTACTCTCGAGTAAAAACTCAAAATTAATATATAAGGATTAATAATTTAATAAATAAATTATAATATTAACTTTTTTGTATAAAAATAAAATTGATGCACAATTTTTAAAAGATATATTTTGTGGGAGGGGGCCAGGGCCAGGGTCCACCCTTGCCCATCTCTCTATCTATCCCAGTTCAGACTTCAGAGAGAACATTGGTAAAGCATACCTCACATTTGGATGATCAGTAATTAATAGACAATCATTATAGAAATACTATTTTCGTGGTACCTTTTTGGGGTTAAGCAAGTAATCATATAGTGTCTTTTCTTCCCAAGTCACAGCCATGTTCTTGTTAGCTGCAGAGTAGGAATATCCAGGAGTAGTGCCTGATTGCCTTCCAAACAAACCATTCAGATTGGGTCCTGAAATTGTCAAATAATAGTGAAATAATTATATTACTGGTACCAGAGATCGTCATCATGAGTGCCAACCAATATTTTGGGGACAAGGAAGCAATGTACAAATTAGTGAGTAGGGAGCCGAGTGAGATTTCTTTCTTGAACACAATGAAAACATATAATAACATAAAAAAAATACATAAGAACATAAACCAGCATTAAAAATTAGAATGCATTACAAAATTTTATAAAACATGCATGACCAAGAACACAAATCATGAAATTTAAAACATTTTATGATGGAGGACTGATTAAAACCTCCAAAAATCAGTAGAAACAATATTATAAGGAATCACAACCTCAATAAAACTATGAATTAAATACTGACAGAAGTATCGCTCACATGAAACTGCTAAAATTCTAAGCATTAATGTCTTTCAGCCGAAGGTATTTGGTAAATGTTAGAGCATAGCTATCGTTACCGAATTGATCAAATTGTTTAATTAGCACAATTCACGAGAAAAGAAATTGGAAATCAATTCACAATTTGGTCCCTGCAAATGATTTTATTATCCTTTTGTATAAAGTGAAACATTACAAGAATAAATCACCTAAAGGTCCTACGCTACCAACTAAAATCAAATTTGGTAGTAAAGCTACCGCATGAACCAGAGAAATTCTTGGGTGGGAACTTCTCACCCAAGGCATGTAAATCAACCGTTAACATGTGTAAAGCTGTAATAGCAATATGTGCATTTTTAACATAGCCGACAGCCAAACCCAACTCTAAACATGTCAGTCAATGGTTGATTTGTATGCTTAAGGTACAGAGTTCCCTCCAAAAATTTCTCCACAAACCAAAATACATGTTTTGTCTTGGCGTCTGAAAAAAAATGTCAATCTTATATGTTTAATTGTCTTGTTCTAATAACCATTAAATTCTTAAATTGATAATATTCTCTCATTTCAAACAAACTTTGAATTGTGCTTCTTCAAGGAAGGATAATTCTCTTTGTTCAATCATTGTCACATGAAAGGACAAAAATAACAGGAACATTTAACTTCAATTCCAAAGCATCAGATTAGGTATCTCCGTCGATTCCGTTGTATTATATAGGCAGTCCATATCCAAATCCAAATACACCGAATCTTAGGATTTAACAACTTATTAATTGCGGATCCAATGGAATTATCGAATCTTAGCGGAATTAATATCGAACTGAGAGAGCTACTAAACAACAAACACTCAAATTTCAAGCGCGCATTGCTTTGACACAGTTTCAGCCAACTTATCCACAGGTAAACCAAAATCACGACACGAAGACAATTGGCAGAATCAATCCGAGTATTAACACAAACAACTAAACAATATTTAGCCAGATCATACAGAAGAAGCAAAGAATCTGCGCACGAACAAGGCAAGGCATAATAACAATTTCAAATTACACAGCGTCTGAAAATAGAGGAATTAAATAACACATAAATCAACAACATGATTCCTAGATCTACGGCTTATTATGCTTGCATTCAACAAAAGAGGTAGAGATACAAACAATATTCATACGAGAAATGAAAAAACGATTCAGTATTAACAATAAGGAGGAATGGCGAAAAGGAGAACGAACCTTGCTTATGACCGGCACCTTTTTCGACGGTGTGGCACTGAGCGCACTTGGTCCTGAAGATTTTGTCACCGGATTTGACATCGCCGGGAGGTGCCTGATCGAACGACGCCATTCGGAGACGGTGTTAGGTTAGCGACACAGACACGAAAAGGTTTTGCGGAGAAAGAGAAGGGAGAGATGTGCGGAAAAGTGGCAATGAATGTGTGACTATTCAGAATGGAGAATATATAAGCTAGGGCGAGGCGGCAGGGTGGGAAATTGGAACGCGGTCGCCACGGGCCTCTAAGCCTGCCCTAACTTTTTTCGTTGACGTGGACCGTTTATGGCGCTACAATTTTTCTTTTTGCCTTTTTGGGTCAGTTGCGTTAGCTTGAGGCAAAAGTCAAGTTTGGCAGCCATGTGATTTGCGTGAACGTCCTTATTATTATTATGTGTGCATGCGAGCGAGGAGCTAGAGAGAAGAGAATATGTCTCTCTCTAACGTTCAAAAGACCCACGGAATCGGAATTACACAAATGTACAACGCCACGTCCAGTTTTGCTCAAGTGTTTTTGTGTAGAAAGTATTATTGAAAATTATATGTAAATTTATTTTGGACTTTTTAATTAGTGTCTTTAACATTTTCCTTTCTTTTTAGACGATCAAAGAAGCTTAAAAAATTTAAAGCTTAAAACAGTCACCTAAATTGACATTTTGATACTCATCATTTCAACAAGGTTAAAAGGTTTTAATGGTTTTTCAACAATTCCTTCTATTGGAACTGATTTTTTTATAAAAAAAATAAAATTAAAAGTAATATTTAAATTAGATTTAATTCCTCTAAAATGAAATAGATAAAATAAGCAGTATCAATTGATAAGAAAGAGAGAGAAAAAAAATCAATGATTAATATTCTATATTCATAATTTATTACACGTTTACACTAATATCAAACGTTAATTTTCTCACTATGAGATTATTTACTTTACCTTCTAAAGTAATGCTGCTAAATCCTTGGTTTTCTTAGAGCATCTACAGTGAAGATTGCTTATAAGCAACTCCCTATACCACATCATGACTCATTAGCTCTTTTCATTATTTATGCGTTACTTAAATTTTAGCAAAATTACTTGTAGAAACTCCGGTACTTAAATAAAAGTGAAAAGAAATTGATGTGACATGATGTGACACAAGAAATTACTTATAAGCAACTCTCACTGCAAATGTTCTTGATATAATTCATATGCATGCATGGAGCTAGATCCTTATGCTTTAATGACTAGGGTAATGATTGTTCAAAGATTTAATTGGTAGCTTTAAAATTTTAAATAAGCATCGTAGTCCCAAAATTTAGATAATGTATATATATCACTTGGATGGAATTTAGTACTTAGTTGGAACATGAAATTTTCATTGAATTATGAACAACCTTCGTTATGGTGCTAACTGCTAAGGTTCATAAGGGTTTGCTATTTTTTTTAACTTCATTTGAGAGACAACCAAAAGATGTGTTCAACAATTAACGTAAGGTCGAGGTTTTTGAGAAGCACCGTTATACCTAAGTGACATTTGTATACATTTTTTTTTCTTTTTTGAAAATGCTAAATTTAATATATCTTAATAATTTTTTTAGATTCGCATATACAAATGTGTAGAGATAGTGCCCAATATTTTTAAAAAAATATATTAAAAGTAAAAAAGAAAAGAAAAGAACATTTTATCAGGTGTAAGTGGAGGTTAAATAAAAATAAAATAAAAATATACAGTTAAAGGGTAATTTAGTTCAATAAAATAACTAAAACTTCCTATCATCTTTATTATTGTTCTTGATTATTGATTATAGATAGAGTGGAAACTAAAATCACATATCGCATTAACATTTCTTCCCGGATGCATAATTTTTTCATGGCTTGCCCTTTTCGGGAGCATTCCCTACTTTAAATGCGAGATGCCTAAACTTTACTATGGATAATATTGATGGAGACACTAACTTCGCTAACAAGTGCTCAAATCCATGTCCAACCTCATCTTCCCCACTGCTCATTACATTTGATAATAATCTGAGATATATAATCGTTTCACCTACCCTCCCACCAAAACATAGAAGTATACATAATAATATTAAAACTAAAGGAATATCGGCGTAAAAAATTCATCATCATCTTGCAGTGGGGGTCATTCTTGATTTATCTAAACACCGGATTCAAGATTTTGAAAAGGCTGGCTTGCGGAGGCCAGGTATCTGCAAAAGAATTTATCAAGAATCATATAAACCAAATACTAAGCAGTGTAATAATCAAATTAAATCTAAAATATCTATATTGAAAAAAATCCAAGTCCCACATCGACTAGAGATTAGGCAATTGAATAGTATATAAAGTGGAAAGCAACCCTCACCTTACAAGCCGGTTTTGTAAGGTTGAGTTAGGCTTAATCCACTATTCTAAGATGGTATCAGAGCCATTTAGATCCACTTTAAAAATGGGTCACCCACCATTGATGTATGTCTCATAGGCATGAGGGGGTGTATTGGAAAAAATCAAAGTCCCGCCAATCCTAGATCATTAAAAATGGCCACCTACCATTTATCCACGTACCAAGCCCAATAGTGTTGGACGTGAGGGGGTGTATTGGAAAAAACTCAAGTCCCATATCGACTAGAGATTAGGCAATTGAATAGTATATAAAGTGGAAAGCAACCCTCACCTTACAAGCCGGTTTTGTAGGGTTGAGTTAGGCTTACTCTGGTCCAGGAACCCTAATCCAGCCGCCAACATCTAGGGTTTTTGACTTTTGTCCGCGGTTGCCGGAGTTGACACCGCCTGTACATTCAGAGGTCGCCGATCGGCCTCTCCGTCGCAAGCCACCACCAGCCGCCGTCTCACGCACCCTCACGCGCGATTCTTGTTGAGAAAGCTCGCCGGCGCGTGGGGTTCACGCGCCGCCCTCCAGGCCTCCGTTTGCGATGCGGTTCACTCCGTTGGACTCGTCGGCCCTTCCTCTTCTCGTTTTGACCCTTTTCAGGTTGTGGGTCACACTCTAGGTGGTCTGTTGGTGGTCGTTTGGTTGCTGGCTCGAAGTTCCGTGGTCGTTTGGTTGCTGTTTCGGAGCTTTGTGGTCGTTTGGTTGTTGTCTTGGAGTTTCGTGGTCGTTTGGTTGCTGACTAAGAGTTCCGTGGTTGATTGGTTGCTACCTCGGTGTTCCGTGGTTGATTGTTTGCTATTTCTGTGGTTTTTTGATTGAGATTTTCTTTTGTTATTTTTCTCCTTTTTTCTCTTCATGGCTCAATCTCCAACTTCGGCTCTAGAGCTCAAGATTGAATCTGAGGGCAATCATCCAATCTCATTATCTACCGATTATTACAAAGAGTATCTTCAACTGAAGGCAGCGCAACAAGCCTCTTCCTCTGTCACTGTTGCTCACACTGGTAATTCTACTGTCTGTCTCTCTCACTCTACGTCTATTGGACCTTGGGTTTTGGACTCTGGTGCTTCTGATCACCTTACTGGTAATGTCTCCCTTTTCCATAGCCTATCGTCACCTAAAACTCCACATCATATCACTCTTGCAGATGGGTCAAAAGTCTAAGCCACTGGTATTGGCCAAATATCACCTACCCCTTCACTACCATTAAAATCTGTTTTACTAGTTCCTGGATGTCCTTTTAATTTGATTTCTATAAGTAAGTTGACTCGGTCACTAAATTGTGCCATAACCTTCACTTCTGATTCTTTCTTGATACAGGACCGGAGTACGGGACAGACGATTGGAGTCGGATATGAATCACATGGTCTCTACTACCTTCAGTCTTCTCGGGACAGACGATTGGAGTCGGATATGAATCACATGGTCTCTACTACCTTCAGTCTTCTTCCTCTACCATATGTGCACCTGTTGAGTCTCTTAGTTTAATTCATCGTCGCCTGGGTCATCCAAGCTTGAATAAATTAAAGAAAATGGTACCTCATCTCTCACGCTTGGAATCCTTAGAGTGTGAGTCATGTCAATTAGGGAAGCATGTTAGAACTTATTTTCCTAAGAGTATTAATAATCGAGCTGTGTCTCCCTTTGATGTCATTCATTCTGATGTTTGGGGCCCTAGTTGAGTTCCTTCTCTTTAAGGGCATAGGTATTACGTCACCTTTATTGATGATTTTTCTAGATGTACTTGGATATTTTTAATGAAAAATCGTTCTGAGTTATTCAATATTTTTCAAAGTTTCTATTCGGAGATCAAAACTCAATTTGGCAAAGTAATTCGGATTTTACGAAGTGACAATGCTAAAGAATATTTTTCAGATTGCTTCAAATCATTTATGACTTCCCATGGCATTCTATCTCAACAAAATGGTATAGCTGAGCAAAAACATAGACATATTGTGGACACTGCTCGTACTCTTTTATTGAATGCCAATGCACCCCCAAAGTTGTGGGAAGATGCTATACTTACTGCAGGGTATTTAATAAATCGAATGTCATCCTCTGTCTTGAATGATCAAGTACCTTATTCCCTATTATACCCATTGGATCCCATTTACCCTGTTCATCCTCGTGTCTTTGGTTGTACTTGTTTTGTCCATGATCTTTTCTCAGGACGTGCTAAGTTGTCTGCTAGGGCTATCAAATGTGTGTTCTTAGGATACTCCCGTGTTCAAAAGGGGTACCGTTGTTACTCTCCAGCTACACATCGATTTTACACTAGTGCAGATGTTACTTTCTTTGAAAATACACCATATTTCGTTACTACAGATGTCTCTTCGGTTGACTCAGATCTCCTTTCTCAAGTATTGCCTATTCCTCATTTTGATCCCAGTGTGCCTTCTACACCTACTACTTTAGAGGCACCAGAGATTCCTAGCACACCACCAGGGTTTGATCGTCCTCTACACCGATTTGGGATAACCTATGAGCGTCGGTCACATACTATTGTTCCTCCCAGTACTTCTACAACTGAGCCATGTGATTCTGCCCCTGCTCCAGTCTCCTTACCTACTCTGGCCCCACCTACCTCAGTTGACTTGCCCATTGCTCTTCATAAAGGTAGTCGTTCTACTTGTAATCCTCATCCTATTTATAACTTTCTTTCATATCATCGTTTGTTTCCTACCTATTATTCTTTTGTCTCTGCTATTTCCTCTATTACCATTCCCAAGACAGTACAGGAGGCCTTAACCCATCCAGGATGGCGACAAGCAATGATTGATGAGATGGCAGCTTTAGACTCCAACCATACTTGGGTACTTGTCCCACCTCTGCCTGGAAAATCTATTGTCGGTTGTCGGTGGGTATTTAATGTGAAAGTGGGTCCTGATGGACAGGTGGATAGATTGAAAGCTCGTATAGATTACATGACGGTAGAAACTTAATAGTCATAATATAAAACTTATACCATAACAAGAGGTGTCCTATCCAAATACATGATACCAAATGCAAAATTCGATACATTACAGTTTACATATCATGAAGGGAACATTATCTCTAGCATTCGTAACATGAAAATAACTTAATTTTGCTTAACGCCACCCTTTCAATGAGTATTATCACCCAACTACTGTAAACAAAAACAATGCATGTCTATAATTGCATTAAAGAAGCTAAAAAGGACAACATAAATCAAGACATCTGGTTGTGTGCAGAATGTCAAAAGCTCTTCTGTCATACCCATGGGTGCTGCTAAAAATGCATCACTCTTCCATGTGGTGGAGAATGCTCATCATGACTTGCTGTTGGGTTGGGTCTTCCTTTCCTGATACGCAACATCTTGCTTAATACCATTTTTGTGATTTTTATGTTGCATCCTTCTATCATATGTGGGCTTAAGTACTTCACTAATCCCCTCAAATTTGGCCTACAAATAAGAATGTTTTATTGAAAGGTTACATCTCAACGTGATCATCATACCATAAAATCTAAAGACTAAATACTAATCAAAGAGACAACCACTGAAGTTGTACTATGACATGATAGGCTCTCCCACGTGGCCCTATAATTAAGGGTACGAATCAAGTAAAACTAGTGCATGTATCCTTTAACGGATACTACTAGATTTGTCATGTCATCCACAGTTCCTTAACGCCGTCATCAACGTGATTGTTATAACTACATGAGACGAATGTCATCACATCAATAACTACATGAGGTGAATGAGGATTGCCCTTTAAGTCTCTGTTTGTTTCCGCGGAAAGACTATTGCTGTAGAAAGAAAAGAGGGGGTCACTTGTGTTTGTTTCGAAGGAAAAGCGAGGAAGGAAAAGCGAGGAAAAGCGAGGAAGGAAAAGCGAGGAAAAGCGGGAGAGACGTACAAAATGATCTTCGCTCATCAACGGAGAAAGGAGGGGAAATCTGGGGAAAGCCATGTCAGCTATGTGAAAAAGACCAACCTGCCCTCGGCTACGTGGAAGCATCTTTCTACTGTTGCTCTGCATGCATGCACAGAAAGGACATGCAATTTCTACTGCTACTCTGCATGGAAGGACAGAAAGCACATGTAACACATGCAAGATGTTGCGTATCAGGAAAGGAAGACCCAACCCAACAGCAAGTCATGATGAGCATTCTCCACCACATGGAAGAGTGATGCATTTTTAGCAGCACCCATGGGTATGACAGAAGAGCTTTTGACATTCTGCACACAACCAGATGTCTTGATTGCAACATCTAATGATGCATGCAAAGTATTTGGATGTGGAGCTTGTTGGTAATTGGGTTTTGTATTTTCATTTGACATGATAGATCTAGATGGATCCACCTTTCCAACTTCAGCTTTGTTTTGGCCTTCTCTTGGACTCTCTGCTCCATGTTTTGGCAAGCCACCAGGTACAACAGAGTGTGGTTGCAGTCCCCCATGATCTATTTAAAGGTAAAGTGCATGGTACAATGAATTTTAATTTTTAATTTTATCTAAAATTTAATGAATTGCAAACTGAAACTCTATCCTCATAGTGGCACGGGTAATCTCTGTCAACAAAATACGAAATTTATAGAGTAGGAAAGCAAATTACTGAATTTAGGACAAACCAACTATTATTCAACAATATACCCTCTTTGTTTGCTTGCTTCTTCAATTATTCATCATGTTATAAAGTGTATATAAATATACCTTGACAGTTATAGGGGAAAAAAAAAAGAAAAAAAAAAAGAGAGATACACCTTGTAAAAGGTGAATGTTACAAGCATGCGTGTAGGATCTTGATGCTTATAATTGTAGTTTTTATAGATTAACAAATGCAGGTTTTTGATGCTCATGATTTTGAAAACTTACAAATCTCATGAGCAGACAGAGGGGCATACATATTGTCAAATAAGAACCATTGATCACAACTAAATCTACTTTCACATATGACAGGTAATTTGTGTTGAATCAAACTATAAGTGGACCAGAACCGAAGAATGTCTAACTTTCTACCAGATAATTTGAGTGGACCAGAAAACCTTTCCCTGAAGGTTGTTTCACTACTAAAAGTGCATACATGCTTCTTACTGGAGACAAAAGAATTAAAATGTTCTTGTGACTCACTGTCCATAACATTCTTAAGGCTTTGAGAAATTATAGGGGAAGAGGAGACAGGCCAAAATGTCTTCTCTGTTTAGATGTTGTCAGAACAACTCTGCACGTAACTTGTGAGTTGTGAGTTGTGACTACCCTATAGCTTGCAGGGTTCACATCTGTCTACATCTCATATGATTACTTATAATTATGAAACTTCAGGGGCCTATTTGTCCAATCTTACTCTTGTAGCTACATAGTTTTTTATTCATTTTCCCTCCAATATACCCCCACCCACCCCCATGGGGCAAAAAACCTCTACTTTCCACTAAGTTGAGGTTGATGCTCCCAATTGAAGTGCCTGTTTCCAATGGAAAATTACAGACTTAGAAATTGTATCCCAAGTCCTGATACAATAAATACAAAACAAAAGCCTTCTCGTTATAGGGACAAAACCCTCTCTTAAACGTGCAATAATATTAGTACCATCTCCAGGACGGTTGAAAAGAGATCAGAAAGAGCAATACCTCAATTCCATGAGGGCCTATTCGGTTACGAGAAATGAAGTTGACAATCAGAGTTGCGAACTCATCAGGTACATCTTCCTAAAAATATTAGGATATAAGTTGTTAGATTACAAATTAAAGAAGAAAACCAGAAACAACATAATGAATGCAGAAAGAGACATGGCTAGTACAAACCTGAATGGCATGCCCTGTATGCCTTACAACTACCATTTGAAACTTCCCTTGCATTTGACCAATGGTGAGAGACCTGTTACAGGAATAATTCCAAAATAATATTAGAACTCCACTTCCATTTTCTCACAACCTCCAAAGAGAAAGAATAGGAGAAACAAAATTACACGATATACAAAACTATTATACCCTAATTATTATTCATGTAAAAAGTTTATATTAGTATCTCAATCATATATTACCACCATATTAAAGTTACATAAATCCGTTCTTCACAACCCATTGTTAGGATTGCATCAATAATAGGAGAAACAGAACTACAAGATATACAATGCCATTTATACTCAAATTATTCATGTAAAAAGTTCATATTAGGATCTCAATCATATATTACCACCATATTAAAGATATAAATCGATTCTTCACAATCCTTGGTTAGGATTCCATCAATTCGGCTAAGTTAAAGACCAAATCTCATGGGATCCCTTTTAACAACTTTGCCCAATGTCCTTTTTATTCTCCCTTGCCTTGGTTTCACGAGACTTAAAATCCTGCAATCTCCTCTCTTCCTTGGTGTTTATAGTGACATTTTTTGTACGAGTTCAAATCACCTTAACCAATTTTTTGTTATCTCTTCCTCAATTGGTGTCACACCAATATCTCATTGTATACAATCGATTCCTATCTTATCCTTTTTTCTGTAGCCACACATCCAACTTAACACATCCTTGCTACTTTCCTTATTGTCCCTTAAAAACTCAACATTCGCTACCGTAGAGAATAGTCAGACGTACAGCTATTAATGAAAGTAACTTAAAACTTGAACCAATTTCTTATCACCATCTGCTATGCTACTTGGACCATACAGTTATCAACACTGATAATATATAAAGCCAGAATAAAATTTGCATCCAACTGTTTTAATTTATATTCTAATTTTGGAAAAACTACAAGAGAAGTTTTCATTAGAACCAACAAATAAAATTTATGATACCACTGAAAATTAATATAATTCAAAGGAAGTGACCTGTCCAATCTATCTGTTCCTGCTAATAACAACAGCTTTGGAACAGGACATGACAAAAATGTATCTGAGAGGCCTTCATACCTGTAAGAAAAAATATAAACTGTTTAATGGGATGATAAAGATACCATGAAAGTTACTTTCAATTTGACCCCAAAAAAAAAAAATTGGGAAAAGAAAGAGACAATAGTCATTGTTTTATGTGATTGCTTTGTATACACTATACAGACCCATAGCCATTAGCCAAAATCCAAATACATAACAATCACAAGTGAAGCCCCAACCAATCCACCTCTTACTTAGAACACATATAAAAAGTCATTGGTTCATTCAAATTTAGTATTTGTAACTACTGTTAGCAGAAAAATTAAGATAAAACATACCAGCCTTTCCAATATTGTTCAGTCTTTTCCAGCTCAGTTCGGTAAAGATAACTGCAACATCAAATCAATACCACACCAATCAAACAATAAACTAAAAATACAGTCAATATAACCAGCTTGTTTAGAATGGAAAAAGGAAAAACAGTATATTTTGAATTATTCTACCAATGTAATGAAAGGCTAAGAGAAGCACTAACCATTTCTTTGAATCATCATACTTTAATGTGGCAGGGACTGATACACGAGCAGAATCAATATTTCTTAAAGAGCCACCCCTGACACTCCATTCAATCTTCACAGAAATCATTCCAACTCAAGTCAAGATTCACCAGAATAAATGAAACAACAGTGAAGCATTACTTAAACCAAGAGCTTACATTACGTAGGTACATTAACCCAGCCATATGATATGCAATAATTGTCTCTCCAACAAATTCTCAATTGATTTTTTGCACATATGGTATGTCATTGGCCAGTGCATGGCAGAGGCAGATCAATAAAATAAAGCAAAATCACTTGGAAATTGGCATGTACTAATGCAATAATGTATGTTTGTAAACTTAAGCTACAGCTTATAACAGACGAGAGGTACACATTCTCTGTTTCTATATACTTTTTTTTTTTATAGTTCAAGACCTTCCTCGAGTTAACACTGTTGGTGTTCTTGGTTCTTGCCTCCAGGCACGTGGCTCCTCCAACACGCACCTTGTGCACTAACCAATAACTACCTTGCCATGAAGCTAGTAAATTAGTATTCTCAGCTGAAAAGTTGAAAATTTGCAGCAACTTAGCCTCTTATATCATTAAAAAGTAATGATTATATTATAATTTTGTTAAGCTTTTTCAAAAAAAAAATTCGAAGATCCAAATATTAATTTCAAGGACACTTCTAAAACATAACCCAAAATTCAAGGAGTGTAATAAATTAGGATTAGGATGACGTACAAAAGGAATATTTAAAGAATGATTTAATAAATAACGACAGAGGCCCAAAAAAAAGATCCAAACCAGAAACAGTTGTCTTGACCAGATAAGACAAAACTTGAAACACACATGAAAGAATGTACAGAGCCAGAGCTTACAGCTTTTTCGATGCTTGAAAAATGTTGCATCCTGTTTGATAGGATTTTCTGCATATGAATCAGTGAAGCCATAGCTGTTCCCTGAAATTCTTGAGACAATCAAACTTCTGTGCCAATGATGAATAAGTAATCGTGAAAAGCAATATGGAAATTAACTATAGAAACCAACCTCTACAACATCCACAACCACCAACCCAGCTAAGGTGGTCAATGATCTCCTTGCAGCAACATGCACAGCAATTGATCCACCCATGCTTTGAAAATGAAGCAAATTTTGATGGATGATAGTTAATAATATTATACACCAAAGTTAAATATAATTGAAATAAGTGAGAATCTAGTCAAGTTAGGTACACCAAATATTTTCATAGGAATAAAATTCACCATGAAAAATAGAGAACAGTTGGTGCAAACACAGAAAAAATATACAAAGAAATGTGAATTTCTGCAAGAGTAAATGCAGATGTGAAATCAAAGCAATCATACCTTACAGTTAAACAGAATATCCTTGAATTGAACTGAAGCTCACCAATCACATATAATGAAATCAAAACATGTTTTATGGCAAATGCATTATGCTTAGCAGTTATGAATCACGACGCATAATGGTTGAAGGATGTAACTCTAGTCAGATGCAGTGAAGCTGTGGTGAAGAGGCAGGTAACAAATATTGGGGGGAGGGTGGGAATGTTTTACCCTTTGACTAATGGCTTTTTTGTATCAAACAAAGAATATAAGGTTCTTCTTTTCTCAACTTAGGTAGCATATTATTTGGTTCTTTTAGAGCTCAAAAGCTATTTTTGAAGTTAAAATCATAGCTGTTTGGTAATTCAATAATTTTTTAAGCTTAAAAGTTACTGTGAACTTTTAAGTTAAAGTTTCTTGAATAATGTGTTCTTGGATGCTTGGATTTGAAATAATGAAAGAAAAAGAGAAGTAGAAACCAAAGCTCCATAAGCTAACCTTTTTTAAAAGCTCTTTTTTTATTCAAAGTTTTCTTCATTTAAAAAAAGAAGAAGATATTTTTAAAAGCTTCTATATGTGAAATTCTGTTTGCCCCAACTTCTCCTTTTAACAGGAGAAGCCCAAAATAATTTTTTTTTTTTTGGGGGAGGGGGGGTCTAACACTACCTTGGTCCTTGGTCCATTCTATTGAGTACTAATACCCAAAATCATTAAACACAAAGAACAAAATTATATTTCCTTCAATTAACATGGAAAGGAATCCAAGATTACTCCTGCGATTAACATGCTTAGCAAAGATAAAAGAGTTAATGAAGTGAAACATTACTAATTGATGCCCATTACAATTGTCTCATATGAAAACCCCTGAAGGTTATATAATAACAGAAATCCAAGAAAATTATTTAAGATAGACAATCACCTGTGACCAACAAGAATAATTGCTGGAGGAGAATCGCTATATAATTCCTTTATAACAGCCAATACATCATTGCACAAAGTCTGCACAAGAATATGATCAACTCTACAAGCAAAACATGGGTAGTATATTCAGCTTAGTTCATTTACTACTTTTCACCTCAACAGATAAGTCGAGATCATTTTCTGTCAATGATTTCCCATGACCTCTCAAGTCCATTGCAACTACCCTAGCTTTCTCCTTAATTTTACTTGTTGAGACAGCAAATGAGAGCCTGTGATAAAATATAATGTGAAGGCTTTCATCAGGTTGCAAATTGGAATAATTATTGAAAACAAAATGTTGATAAATGACATGTTTCTGAATTCATGTGTACTATCCTGACTAACATTTAGAGACTTTAGGTATAACAACAACTAAGCCTTTTTTCCCGTTAGGTTGGGTCAGTTACATGCATCATACTACACCATAAATTTGTCCTGTAAGTGTAAAGATAGACCACTGCAAAATCCCTATTAATGGTCTGATCTACATTTTTCTTTGGTCTCCCTCTACCTTGAACAATAGGACTATATTCTATTTGATTAAGCTTTCTTACTTACTGGTGCTTCTATGGGTATTTTCCACACATGCCCAAACTATCTAAGATGAGACACATACCATTTTTTCTAACTTTTTCTCTAATGATTGTATTCCTAATTCAAGCTTGTATTGTGTGCTCACTCATCCATTGTAACATGCTCGTTTCTACAGCATTGAGCATGCTTTCTTGTTCTCTAATTACCACCCAACACTCAGTTTCTTATAGTATTGCAGGTCTTCTAACTCTACAGTAAAATTTTACAGTGAGACTTTAGGAAGAAAAAAGAAAAACATTTTGAGTAGATATGATACTAATTTATGAGCACACACATATACCACTTATATACAAAATACAAAATAAGAAGGTAGAGATCACAACATCAGTAACAAATTTCTTGGTTCAGTTACTCTCCTTTTTAGATCAAACATGGAGTTCCAATGCCCTGATACCATGTCATGAACCAACCATCCCTCAAGGCTAAAGCTGAAACCAACTCCACATCTAACACCCCGCAGTCACTTCATTAATTAAATGGATATCAAATCTAGGGACAAAGAACAGTGAAGAAAGTACATCAGCATATAACCTTTCCCCCTTTACTGACAGCCCAAGGGCCCACACAAAATAACTGCTCCAAATTTAGAGGAAACACCCTAGTTACCAAAAAATTTCAAATAATCTACTCCAAATTCAGGGTAATAAATGTCAATAGTTACTCCAAATGTAAAAAATGAATGGGTGATTGTTTTTAAACTAGAACATACTTGGTGCACATATCCGAGAAATGACTGACACTCATTAGTCCTCCACCATGTTTGTTGGCAAAAACATTATTCCTAACCTAACATTTTATTCTCTAGTCTTAAGCAGCAGGTCTCCTTATAAAAAACCTATATTTCTTCACACCACAGTATTGATTTCTCAAGTCATTCTTAATTGTTACTTTTCACATTTTTATGCAAATATGCTAAAATTAACTATAGCCATTAGTCAAGCACTAATTACGCACTATCCCCTTCATTGCTCAGCAAATCCAAAGACACCACCAGCACATGCATCTTGAAATTATAAAACAATATATCAAATAACAGACCAGAATGCATACTGCAGTCCATGTTTAACTTGGATAATGTATTCTCTTAAAACAATGTGAGAACTACTACGATCGGCCTAGTAGTGGGAATTGAAGTAGTATGTACATGGTCTTAAGTTTAAATTTGTTAGCATCATTGTAATTCAAACAGACAAAAAAAAAAAAAAAACAAAGTGAGAACATTTAGATTTCTTTAAAGATCGATAAATTTTAAATATAAACCAAAATTTAACACACTCCACTTCCAACGGTTTCAAGTGGGAAATACTTTTGGAGGTAGGTGACAATAATCCAATTCTAATAATACTTCATGGACCATGACTTAAAAATTAAGAGATAAGTCAATGAATAAGAGATAATTTAGCAATGAGTAATAACTAATAACCAATCATACCCAGAATAACCACCACCGTGTAAACAGAATACAACGGGGCCCTCAGTTCCTGCCGTGTAAACATGAAAAACCTGAATAAATGAGAAAAAAATGTTAGAAGAAGATTAATCTAAAGGGATGAAAAGCATGATTTTGATTTTGCAGACTAACATCATTCGATTCGGGAATTGCAACGTCCTCTTCTTTGTCAAAATACTGGGACCAATCTAGAGGTGCGTATTTTTCTGAAGAGCTCCTACAACAAATGACGGTTAAAATGAAAAGCGATCGTAAACGCAAGTGCAGATAGCGATCCCTTGAGAAGTGAAAAGAAGAAGATCGCAGAATCTTACTTAGTTGGAGGGAGATGAGGAACGGAAGCGAAAACAGAGGCGGGTTGAGTTTGCTGTTGTAAATGTTCTTCCGTCGTATCTTCGGGAAGCGAAGCCATGTGAGAAGAAGAATCCATGTACCTCTCTGTCTCTCTCTCTCTCCGATCTCGAAAGTCCAAACTCTTGCAGAATCCAACCAGCAACTGTTGCGGTTTTACTTTCCTCGGTGTCAAACTTTTTTATTTTAATATTTTTTTGGCCCAAAATACATGTGTTGTTGCGAATTTTTTTCTGAAATAATATTTTTTTTAAAAAAAATTACACTGTGCAGGATTATTTACCAAGATAGAACTATTTACTGTTCAAGGGAACCGAATTCTGAGCATCAAAATGTAATTTTTTTTGTTTTTTCAACTCAGAATTCGGTTCCCGGGGAACCGAATTCTGAGTTGGTTTTTAATTTTTTTTTTTTTCGTGTATGGGGCAAATGTGGGCTGATCTGGAAAGCAGAACGGGCCGTTCTGCTTAAAGAAACAGAGTGCAAATTCTTTAAGCAGAACGGGCCGTTCTGCTTTTGGAACGGGCCGTTTCACATTCAGAATTTGCACTCTGTTTTTTTAAAAAAAAAATTAAAACCAACTCAGAATTCGGTTCCCCGGGAACCGAATTCTGAGTTGAAAAAACAAAAAAAATTACATTTTGATGCTCAGAATTCGGTTCCCCGGGAACCGAATTATGAGCTTGAACAGTAAATGGTTCTATCTTGGTAAATAATCCTGCACAGTGATCATTCTTGTAATTTTTTTTAAAAAAAATATTATTCCAGTAAAAAATTCGTGTTGTTGCAGTAACACTTGTATGTTTTTTTTTATATATTAGAGTTAAATGTGTTTACACACATAACATAATTAAAAGATATAATTAGTTGTCAGTGTAAAAAATTTTTTACATTAACAGTGTATAGATGATTACTTGTTTTAATATTTATATTTTTTTTTTAAACATTATCAACATCTAGCTGATAATAAAATACTTGTTTGAGAAGGAAAACTCATTTGAATGTAAATCAATAAAAATTAATTATAAAAAAAGTGATGATAGTTTCAATCAATATAAATTAAAAAGTGTAATAAATTTACAATAAATATATATACATTTTTTCTAATAATGGAATTCATCTCAAGGTTACTAATAATAAAATTATGAGAAAAAAGATAATAAGACCATAAAAAATTACACCATTAAGAGACATAAAATTGAGTAGTATCAACAAGCTCGTCAAGTGATTACATATAAAATATTTTTCTCTTAATGTATGAGAATAAGAGATGGATGAAAGGAAATATATTGTAAAAATTGTCCCAACTCATAAAAGAGCATAAAAAAGTATAAATGACATAGGTATAGTGGCTAATAGAGGTAAAGATTACAATGGAATCAATTTCAATACAAGTATTTAGGAATCTCTCATCAAGGATAAGTTGTTGAGTAAGATAGTTTCCTAAAATTCGAATCGGATAGAACTACTATAACCGATAAAACAAGAAAAAACATTAAGTCATCTACCAACTCTAATAACCCCCATCATTTTCTTTGAGATTAAGAGAGCTCTATTGACAATGGAGTTATCGACATTAACTTTTATGACATAAAGGTGACAACGATGTCATCTACTAAGACAATCAATAAATTGAGGGGGCAAATGATTTTTTTAGAATCTTGTAATTGGTCAACTCATTAAAAAAATTATATGAGAATGTTAGTCATGAAGCAATCATGATTTTCAAAGACAACAATGTTTTTAACCTTTCAAATACACCATAAAATTGTGCCAATGAACAAAGACCAAAGAGTTTTCACATATTTTGTTTGTTTACAACAAATCTATAAATTCTAGAAAGAATAAACTAGAGAAATAATTAATTTACATAAAAGAAGAAACTAGTTAGGTTTGACTTTCAAACAACCCTAAAAAATACAAAGGTCGGATTTAATATAGAGGTTACAAAGTAAACAAGTTAGCGAATAAAAAATACTACAAAGAACACAACAAAAAAAACACACACAAAATAATTATAAAAGTAAAAAGATCATATAAAATTTATTTAATTTGATTTAACCTCTTATACTCACATCTACAAAAAAAATATTAATTATCTCAAAATGTAAGGAGAATTTATGATGAAGATGTTATTTTTTATTATTTATGTTCATTTTAAAACTATTCATAATACATAATAAATTAAATACAATTAATGACTTATTATGAAATTTCAATTTGTTATAGTTTTTTTTAATTCTCTTGGAAAATAATATTATGAAGAGGAATTATTAGATGAAGATAATATAGAAAAAAAATTATTGCAAAGTTGTTGCTTTGACAAATAATACTTAAAAAATGGCTTGTTTGGAGGAAAATAATGCTTGAAAAGTTGTTCCTTTTAAAAAAATTATATTTGTTTTAAATTTGTCCATAATTAATAATTAATATTTTATTTTGCTTTTTATTACAATTTTAATTTACTATAATTAATATTTTTGTGAGAAATCTATGTGGGAAAATAATTATTGTATGCAAATAATATGGAAAAGAATAATGATTGTATGGATAATTTATTACAAAGTTGTTCACTTTAATACAAGTAATACTCAAAAAGTTGTTTTCTTTAATTTCTTTACTTCTATTTATTTTAAAATTATCCATAATTAATAATTAATACAATTAATAATTTTTTTATTATGTAATTACTATAATTATTTAAAAAAAATCACGGAGAAATAATATTATGAAGAAAATTTATTACTTGTAGGTAATATAGAAAAAAGACAAATTATTTAATGGAAAACTTAATTTTATAACTATTAACAATAAATAAATATAATTAATAATTAACCTAACTAGTGATTTATCATATCATTATGATTTCAATTTGCTATATTTTTTTAAGATCTCATGAAAAATAACATAAGTAAGATAAGATATCATTTGATAGTAGAACAAGACAAAATATAATAGAACTATAATATATTTATACTGTATTTAGTAACAACAGAACATAATGAAATTATGTGTTCTATTATACGTTTGATACTTATTGAACAAAACAAAATATCATGTTTATATATATATATATATATATATATATATATATAATGCATAGGGAGATGAAGGGGGAAAAGTTACCTTATCATATTGATTCATAACACAAATTTCACATGGCATAAAAAAATACACTAACTTGTTAGAATATAAAAGACAGTCATATATTATTAGCGTAACAAACAACAAATAGAATAATTATTTTATTATGTTATGTTTTGACCATCAAATGAATTCTTAGTGGAAAGAGTTCAACTTATTTAGTTAAGTCCTAATCCCCTAAGATCTTAAGAAAAGAAACTTCGCCTTAAACTTAAGGATCATAAGAATATTATTATAATAAAATTTAATACAAAAGTGCTTAAGAAAGGAACTTGGATTAAACATAAGGATCATAAAAATATTATTTAAATAACACAATAAGAACTTGTCTTAAATTTAAGGATTATAAGAATATTATTAGAACAAAATTTAACACACAATAATTTAAATAGAAACTTGTCTTAAGCTTTGATTATAAAAATATTTATTACTATAAAGAAGCTCAAGAAAGAAACTTGCTTAAACTTAATGATCATAAATATTTGCCAAAATGAAATTTAATACAAAGAAACTCAAGAAAGGAAGTTGCCTTAAACTTAAATACTAAAAAAAAAAAATATATATTACTGGAATGATTTTATACATATAAAAAAGAAAAAAGTGCTAAATGCAACCCTGGAATTGTGCATTTTTGGACACTCCGTTAATGCAAAAAGCCCAATAGCCCACGATACGTTGATAGCACAGTAGATAGACACTACTTAAGCCAATGGTGCGAGAGGCGTGCGTGCGTGCGAGCATAGGTCGTAACCCTAAAAAATCAGAAGCAGTGGCAGTGTCACCAAAATATCTGTTCCTCTCTGATTGAACTCGCGCCTCATTTCCCTCTCATCACTCCCGCGCTTAATTCTCTCTCATGGCGGAGGAACAAATTGTTGCACCCGCTGCCAGCCCCGTTCCCTCTGATCACAAGCGCAAACTCGAAGATCTGCAACCTGAAACCACCCAACCACAGCCACTCGAATCCAGTGTCAACTCCGACGCCGATGCAGTGCTTTCCGACGAGACCGAGACCGAGACCGAGACCGAGACCGAGACCGAGACCGAGACCAAACGTCCACGCCTCGACGACCAGCGGGATGAAATCGGTACTGTTATTGACATTTTTGTTTTCCAACTCAATTATTCATGTGTTTTCGCAATGGCTGTAATGATCTATTTCTTTTACTAGTATAATGTTAGTGTATTGGCCTTTGAGGACGATGTATGATTTACGTGGGAAAGATAAAGAATCAGAGGAAATGAGAGAAGTATAGAGGGGGAAAAGGGAAGAAAAAACATAAAGGGCTTGTTTATGTGGGTTGCACTCCCTTTTTAATGAATCTCAATCATAATATGTTTGCGGCTCTTTATGTTGTCTTTTCTTGCAAGGGATTTTGTGTTCTTTTTCTACATTTCGGTCTATAGAAGGTGTGCGAAAGAAATAGGAACTTTGTGTTACTAATGTGTTGGTTTTGTTGTTAACAGCTAATGCAAATGGGCATCAAGATGAGCAGGTTGTTGAGCCAGTGAAAGAAGCAGGAGAAGGATCCACCCTGGAGAATGCCACTCCCGAGCGCGATCAAACTGTATCCGAAGATCGCCCAGAGGCAACTGCTATTGAACAAAATGCTAGTGAGATTAGCGAGCCAGCTGATGCCAAAGAACACCCTGTTGAGGACTCTGCGCAGGAAAATGCAGAGGAGCCAACTGAAGAAACTCAACAACCGTCTAAGGACTCAACTGAGCAAGATGCTTCTTCTGGAGACAAGCAACCCAGTTCTGTTGACACTGCTCCGGAAAATATGGAAGTTCCCCATGATAAGGTGTTGATTATGATGCTGAGTTTTTGCTGATCTAATAATGTGTTATTGTGTGAAGAATATTTTTTTGTATATTCCTAGATATTTGAACAGAATATTTGTTCTTACATATTTGTATTTTGCTCCAATATATTGCCCGTCATTATGTGATTTTCTTTTACTTGCTTTCAGCAAGATGATTCTTCTGGACAAAAGCAGCTTGCATCTGGGGCTGAAGTAACGACAAGGAAAATTGAGGTTCCTAACAACAAGGTATTTCAATTCTCTTAGATGCATATTATTGGTTCAATCATTTTACATGTTCATGTCAATATTAGATTTTGTGGGTACCAGTACTGCTGAAC